GGGGTGGAGGGCGAGTGAGGAGGAGGGGAGAGGGGGGGAGGAGGAGAATTGGGGAACGAGGAGGAGGAGGAGGAGGAGGAGGAGGAGGAGGAGGAGGAGGAGGAGGACGAGGAGGAGGACGAGGAGGAGGAGGACGAGGACGAGGACGAGGAGGAGGAGGAGGAGGATCTTTTTTTAACATCCACGGGTGCAGCCCACCGAAAGGGTTGGCGAGACCCTTTGAGGGCGGTGCAGGCGGCAGCTGGGCTGTGAGCCCGGGCTGCCAAAAAGGCAGCGGGCGCTCTCGAGCGAAGCAGGCGCAGTTCCATTGTAAGTCAGCCAGCTGCAAACGCGCAGCCTCTCGGCCTGAGAGGCTGGGGCCTCCAGGCGCAGCGCAGGGCAGGCAGCGCTGGGGCGACAAACGCCAAAGGAAGAGAGCGTGCCTGCACAGCGAGCGAGCACCTTCACGAGGACCGCTAGGGGTGCCTCGCGGGTGGTGCTCACGAGTCAGAGACCCCAGACCAGCATACTGGTCGGAGTCGTCCGACTGCGAACGAGCGCCGACGGGAGGGAGAGCTTCGCATTCCTCCCTTCAGGCTGCTTCGACAACACGCGCGAGCTGCCGCGCCTCCTCCCTCTCACTATGCGGGGCCACGGCGACGGGGCAAGGGCGCAGTCGAGCAGGCGCGAGCTGGGAGGCAGGCTCCTCCGGCCTGGCGCAGGAAAAGAAAAACAGCAGAAGGTTGCACAGTGCTCGGCGGCTGCTGAAGCCCGCTGTGCTTTCCTACTCCACCGTCCGACCCAGACTGGACGACGACCACCTCCTCCGCGAGGGCGGGCACAGAGGCAACAGACGGACAGCGGTCGGCTGCGGGTTCCAGAGGTCGGTTCGCTGCCGCCGACCTTGGGCTGTACATTTCGCTTGCAGGAATCGTTCTCCCTCCTCCACCGTCCGACGGCGACTGAACGACGACTCCCTCCTCCTCCATACTGGCGCGCCCGCGAGTAGCAGGCCGTCCAGCTCAACAGAGGGGAGAGGTTCGAATGGGGTGAGGCTGACGCGGAGGTGTACTCCCTGGGGTGAACCCCCGACATACATTTGTTGAACGTGGTTCGGCCATGCCGCTTCATGGTGCCAGGGCAAACCGATGAAGGACCGCTTTTCTGCAACTGTCCGCGATGCCTATATGCGCCGCGGGCAAGGCATACGAGGCAATCTGCCACGCCAGAACGGCAGAGAACCAGCATCCAGCAGGCCACCCTCGCAATGAGCAGGCCCCTTGCAGTGGCCAGGTGGAGGGACCCCGCTTGAGCGGGAGCCGCGAGGACGGGCAGTGCAGCGCCAGGCAAGGCCGCGACCGAGGCCACTCGTGCGCCTGGAGTGCGGCCTCTGGCTGCCAGCAGCTCTCGGGCACGGGTGGAGCTCACAGTGGGACAGGTTGATTACCAGCCTGGAACATATCCCTATCCCTATGTTTGACATCACCTCACCTCGATGCCGATCTTAAGGATTCCCTCAGTTTTTGAGGGCCTATCCCTAAGATTGTCCTCGCTTTTTGCTCGCCCATCTTAGGGATAGGGATACGTTCGAGGCTGGTTAGTTGAGCTTCGGCCACCCGGGAGGCAGAGCAGCCGCTGGGCGGCACCATGCCTTGGCAGCCGCTAGCATGTGAGCAAGCTTGCTCTCAGCAGCAGCTGGCGGCCCGGGGCGACGAGGCGCGCTCCGGCCCGCGCAGCGGCATCGGCGAAGTCGTTCCCTGTAGACGACTGGTGCGCTCAGCGTGCGATATGTTCCCTCGCCGGGGTCAAAGTGAGCCTTCCTTCACCCAGTCCAACCTGCTGAGAAGGGGGCAATCATCAGCACACAGAACAGCTACAGGAGACGTCCTCCGACAGCTGAGGCGCTCAGTACGCGGGAGACTGGAGTGCTTCACCTCGGCAAGGCAGTCCGAGAATCCATGAGCTTGGCCTACCGCCTACCGTCCGGAGTCTGGCCATGCCAAGGGCTGCGAATTCAGCTGAAGCAGCAGACTGCGGCGTGGGCCCGTGAATAGGGCCGTACACTGAAGAAAGACAATTGCCGTCATCATCGGTCCGACACAGCCCCCACCCCGCACGGCAGAGGTCAGCTATGGGATGCCTGAAGCACGAGCCGTCGAGGCAAAGCCTACCAGCCATGTCCCCGTTATCTCCCTCAGGAAACGCATCCGATCGGATCGCCTCCCCCGTCGCGAGCGGTTAAGGCCAAACGGACTCAGGGTGTTCAAACACACCTCTGCAGAACAAGAAGCCGATCCCCATCAGATAAGTCGCCGAGAGCTTCGGCGAGAATTGAGGACGTGGCAATCTCCTCCCTGTCCTCCTTCCATGGGCTGAGTCGGGGTCGAGATCGGACTAACTGCTCGGTGCAACCTTTCCAGCAGGCTTCTCGTTCCCTGCTGGGCCGCGTGCCTCCTTCAACCTGCCCAGCTCTGTCAGTCTGGGGTGCAGCGCACGCCTGCAGCTGGATCCCTGCGGGACAGAAAGGAGCCTCTTCCTCCCCACCTGCATGCCCCTCACCCGGACTTCTGGGCCTCACCTTTTCTCACCATCCTTTCCTCACCATCCTGGGCTCCATCCATGTCTCACCATCCTCTCTCACCATCCTTCTCTCACCATCCTCTTCTCACCGTCCTCTTCTCACGATCCTTTTCTCACCATCCTGATGCCTCACCTTCTGGGCCTCACCTTTTCTCACCTGGGCTTCTGGGCCTCCTCCCTGGGCGCCGTCGCGGTGCCCCCCTGGACTCTTGTGAGGAGCGGGCGGTGGACCTCCTGACGATCACCGCGGCCCCGCGCCGAGGCGGGCCGCCCCCCGAGGGGGGGTCCCGCGCGCCGGGGCCCCGGCACGGGGAAGGCCGGGGTGCGGGGCATACTCCTCCTCCCTCCTTCTCCTTTTCCCTCCTCCGCCTCCTCCTTCTCCTTTTCCTACTCTCCTCCTCCTCCTCCTCTTCCTGTTCCTCCTCCTCCTCCTCCTTCTCCTTTCCCTCCTCCTCCTCCTCCTCCTTCTTCTTCTCCTCCTCCTCCTCGCTCCTTTCCCTCCTCCTCCTCCTCCTCCTCCTCCTCCTCCTCCTCCTCCTCGCGGCAAGCTCAGTCTTGAGCGCGAGGGGGCGGGGAGCCTTCGGGGACGCAGGCGAGGGAGGCCGCTAGATCGGCCGTGGAGGCAGAGCGTTGCAAATAGCAAGGAGGGAGGAGCACAGGGAGAGCGAGAGAGGGAGCGAGACACAGCGAGAGAGGCAGAGAGAGAGAGAGAATCAGAGGTCAGAGGCATACATATAGACAGGTAATAGATATCTATATATATAGAGAGATAGAGAGAGAGAGACAACAACAACAACAACAAACAGAGAGAGAGAGAGAAAGAGGCAGATACAGTGGGACGCATACTCAGGCAGGAACGACAAGTGTCGCAGGGTAGTGCACCAGAGAGGGAGGGAGGGAGCCCGGGCGGGAGCGAGCGAGCGAGCCAGAGAGGGAGCTACATTTGCAGCAGGAGTCGGGAAACAAAACATAGAGAAACTTCAGAGAGGGAGCTACATTTGCAGCAGGAGTCGGGGAACAAAACATAGAGAAACCTATGCCACCGCCGCCTCCTTTGGTCCTATCCTCGCCTCTCTCTCTCTCTCTCTCTCCACCCCTCCCACCGTTTTTCCCCCCTCTCCCTTCGCCCTCCCCTCCCCTTGTGAAGCTTCGTCCCTTGCGCCCTCCCTCCCCACCCCCGCCCCTGCCACGCCCGCTCCTCCCCTGTGTCTCTACGCTCCTCCCCCCCCACCCTTGTCACCCCTGCCCCTCCCTCTTGTCCCTCCCGCCTCTTTCTCACCCTCCCTCTCACCCATGTTCCCTCCAGTCTCCCAATCTTAGTCGGCTGGAGAGGTGGGCTATATGTGCACATACCTCGCCGTCCCACGTCGTGAGCAAAAAACGTACGGTAGGTTCGCGTCGTGTCGACCGGCCGCGACCCCGCCGTTGGCGTTCAACTCTGAACGCCGCCGGCAACCCAGAATCGGTCGATGTTGAATGATCGGACGTTTCGAAAGCGGCCGATCGTTGAAGGCGAAACGATCCCCGCGGTGTCAGGAGCCAACGCCGAAGTCGGCACGACACGAACTTGCCGGAACGCGCCATCCCGCGGGTGGCCAAACACAAGCACGGCCAGAGCTCTCTCAACCCGACGTGTGTACAGTCGGGGCCCTGAAGAAGGAACCCTTTTCGTTGGGGAGGGGCTCCGTGTTCCTTAATTGTTTCGCAGCTTGCCTTGGATTTTCCTTACGTTTTCGATACGAAATCGAAGTTCAACTTACGGGAAATAGGGGCTTCGTTCCTTATTTAGGGTTCCTTAGGTCAACGCCTCGACTGTACTCGATTTCTCGACCCACGGTTGCCCATCGTGGTTCGGGTTGTCGTGGTAGTGCCACGGCGAAGTGGCAGCGCGGCCCTGGTCTCGCGCCCCGGGCGGGGCAGACCCCCGCGGTCGGTGGCGCTGTCGGAGTCGGGTGGGGAGGCCGAAGCTGGGCACAACGACGCCAGCTGTGTTTTCTCAAGACGCCCCCAAAGGCCCAGAAGAGGAGGAGGAGGAGGAGGAGGAGGAGGAGGAGGAAGGGGGTGATTAGGAGGTGGGGAAGGCTGGTCAGGAGCAAGCGGAGGAGGGGAGGGTTTTCTGCTCCTGAAGGCGCCAGCGATAGCGCGAGGGTGCGGGAGGATGCGTTGCAGCGGGGATGGAGCATTGAGAGAGAAACATTGAATGTGAGAGCGAGAGAGAAATTGATCCTGCGAAAGACCCAACCACATGCATTTGGGAGTACCTCGTTGTGGGTACCGACCGCTCTCGATGACGCTTTTGGGGGGGGCACGAGACGTGTGAGGGGTGTGCCGGAACGGGTCTGGTGGCGCCATGCGGGCGCTGCCACTGGGGCCTTCGGTGAAGCTCCTTATGGTGCAACGGAACGTGCGAGTTGTGTGCCGGAATGGGTGCGGTGGTGCCATGCGGGCGTTGCCAATGGAGACTTTGGTGGAACTCCCAATGTAGCCACGAAACCTGTGAGGGGCGTGCCGGAACGGGTGCGGTGGTTCCATGCGGGCGCTGCCAGTGGGGCGTTCGGTGGAGCTCCCTACGGGGCCATGAAACGTGCGAGGGATGTGTCGACACGGGTGAGGTGGTGCCATGCGGGCACTGCCCCTGGGGCATCCAGTGGAGCTCCTTTTGGGGCTACGAAGCGTATGAGTTGTGTGCCGAAGCGGGTGCGGTGGTGCCATGCGGGCGTTGCCGTTGAGGTCTTCGGTGGAGCTCCCTATGGGGTTATGAAGCGTATGTGGGGTGTGCTGAAACGGGCGCGGTGGTGCCATACGGGCGCTGCCACTGGGGCTGTCGGTGGAGCTCCCGATGGGGCCACGAAACGTGTGAGCGGTGTGCCGAAACGGGCGCGGTGGTGCAATGGGGGAGCTCCACCCTTGGCCCCTCGGTGGAGCTCCTTATGGGGCCACGAAGCGTGTGAGAGGTGCACCGAAACGGGTTCGGTGGTGCCATGCGGGCGCTGCCAGGCGCTGCCTCTGGGGCCTTCGGTGGAACTCCCTATGAGGCCACGAAGCGTGTGCGGGGTGTGCCGGAACAGAGGCATGCGGAGGACACAGGCGATGTGGCAGGAGGGAGGAGGGGGAGGAGGAAGGACGGAGTGGACGCGGGGCGCTGTCTCTTCAGAACGAGGACCCAACACCACAGGATGGTCTTGCAACACGCAACTATCCTGGCGAAGGGCCCAACCATTACAGTTGTGAGTGCCGCTGTGTGGTGCGCATCCTGTGCGGTGGAGCTCCCTATGAGGCCACGAAGCGTCTGAGGGGTGCACCGAAATGAGCGTGGAACTGCACGCGGGCGCTGCCACCAGAGCCTTCGGTGGAGCTTCCATGATGCGACGACACGTGTGAGGAGTCTGCCGAAATGGAGGGTGCAGTTGCTGTCTGTGGTGCCTTCGGTGGGGCTCCCTATGGGGCCGCGAAGCGTGTGAGGGGTGTGGCGGAATGCGGGTGGAACTGCATGCGGCTGCCATTAAGGCCTTCGGTAGAGCTCCCTACGGGGCCACGAAATGTGGGAGTGGTGTGCCAAAATGGAGGATTGAACTGCATGCGGTCGCTGCCAGCGGGCCCTTCGGTGGAGCTCCTTCTGGGGCCACGAAGCGTGCGAGCGGTACACCGAAATAGCGGATGGAACAACATGCGGGCGTTGTCACCGGGGCCTTCGGTGGAGTTCCCTATGAGGCCACGAGGGTGGAACTGCATGCGGGTGATGCCACTGGGGCCTTGGGTGAAGCTCCTTCATGGGGCCACGAAGCGTGTGAGGGGTGCACCGACATGAGGTTGGAACTGCATGCGGGCGCTGGCACTGGGCCTTCGGTGGAGATCCCTATGGGGCCACGAAATGCGTGAGGGGTGTGCCGTAATGGGGGTGGAGCTGCATGCGGGCGCTGCCCCTGGAGCCTTCGAAACGTGTGAGGGGGGCTCGCCGAATAGGAGGGTGAAACCGCACGCGGGCGCGGCCAGCGGGGCCCTGGGTGGAGCTCCCTATGGAGCCACGAAGCGTGCGAGAGGTGCACCGACACGAGCATGGAACTGCATGCGGGCGCTGCCACTGGGGCCTTCGGGTGGAGCTCCCTATGAGGCCACGAAGCGTGTGCGAGGTGCACCGACGTGAGAGTGGAACTGCACGCGGGCGATGGCAGTGGGGCCGTCGGTGGGGCTCCCTCTGGGGCCACGAGCCGCGGGAGGCGTTGGGCTCCTTATGGTGCCGCGAGCCGTGGGAGGCGTGCGCCGAGATGGGGGTGGAGTTGCACACGGGCGCTGCCCCTGGAGCCTTCGGTGGAGCTCCCGATAGGGTCCACGAGGGTGGAACTGCACGCGGGCGCTGCTTCTGGGGTCTTCGGTGGAGGTCCCCATGGGGCCACGAAGCGCGGGAGGGGTGCACCGACATGAGGGTGGAACTGCATGCGGGCGCTGCCACTGGGGCCTTCGGTGGAGCTCCCTATGGGGCCACGAAGCGTGTGAGGGTTTTCTGGAACAGAGACACGCGGAGGGCACAGGCGATATGGAAGAAGGGAGGAGGGAGGAGGGGACGCGGGGCGCTGTCTCTTCCAAAGAAGGACCCAACACCACAGGATGTTGGGGAAACGAGCTTTCCAGGCAAAGGACCCAAGCACACGCAGTTGTGAGTACTGCAGTGGTGCGCGTCCTCTTCGGAGGAGCTCCCTATGGGGCCACGAAGTGTGTGAGGGGTGCACCGAAATGAAAGTGGCATGCGGGTGCTGCCACCGGGGCCTTCGGTGGAGCTCCCTATGAGGCCACGATGCGTGTGAGGGGTGTGCCGAAAGGGGGGGTAGAACTGCATGCGGGCGCGGCCACTGCGGCTTTCGGTGGGGCTCCCTATGGGGCCACGAAGCGTGCGAGACGTGCACCGAAATGGGGTGTGGAACCGCACGCAGGCGATGCCAGTGGGGCCTTCGTTGGAGCTCCCCATGGGGTCACGAAGCGTGTTAGGGGTGCGCCGAAATGGGGGTGGAGCTGCACACGGGCGCTGCCCCTGGAGACTTCGGTGGAGCTCCCTATGGGGACACGAAGCGTGTGAGGGGTATTCCGAAATAGAAGGTGGAACCTCATGCGGGCGCTGCCACTGGGGCCTTGGGCGGAGCTTCCAATGACGCAACGAAACGTGTGAGGGGTGCACCGAAATGAGGGTGAAACCGTATGCGGGCGCTGACACTAAGCCCTTCGGTGGAGCTTCTTATGAGGCCACGAAGCGTGTGAGAGGTTTGCCAAAATGGAGGGTGGAACTTCAAGCGGGCGTTGCCATCCGGGCCCTAGGTGGAGATCCCTATGGGGCCACGAAACGTGGGAGGCGTGCACCGAAATGGAGGTGGAGCTGTATGCGGGCGCTGCCCCTGGAGCCTTCGGTGGAGTTCCCCATGGCGCCACGACAGTGGAACTGCATGCGGGCGATGCCACTGGGGTCTTCGGTGGAGCTCCCCATGGGGTCACGAAGCGTGTGAGAGGGGCACCGAAACGAGCGTGGAACTGCATGCGGGCGCTGGCACGGGGGCCTTCGGTGGGGCTTCCTCTTATGGGGCCAAAAAGCGGGTGAGGGGTGTGCTGGAACAGAGACATGCGGAGGGCACAGGCGATGTGGAAGGAGGGAGGAGGGGGGTGAGGAAGAGGGGAGTGGACGCGGGACGCTTTTTCTTCAAAACAAGGACCCAACACCACGTGATGGTTGGGAAACAAATTCTAGACGCTTCGCGTATCCCCACCAGCCCGTCCAGAAACGACGCCCAGGCGAGTCGAGGGTCGTCCTGAGGTGCTTTTCGGCGTCTTGGGTGCCTCGGGGGGGCCTCTGTGGGCCGTTCGGGATCCTCTTTGGGGCCTCCTGGGGGCCTCTTGGGGCCTCTTGGGGCCATCTTGGGGCCTTTGGGGGCCTCCTGGGCGCCTCTGGGGGGTCTCTTGGGGCCTCTTGGGGGTCTCTTGGGGGCCTCTTGGGGGCCTCCTGGGGGCCTCTTGGGAGGCTTGGGCTCCTCTTGGACCCGTCTGGGCGCCCTTGAAGGCCCTGCTGGGGCGCTCTTGGGGCAATTTTGGAGGACATCGGCCAAGGAAGTGGGGTTCCCTAATTACAGCCCCCCCCCCAGGAGCTCCAAACATCGCTTCCTGGACCCCTCTTGGGTCGCTCTTGGAGCGCTCGTGGCCGCTCTTGGAGCCATCCTGAGGCTCTCTTGGGCCCCTCTTGGAGCTATCTTGAGCCATCTTGGAGCCATCTTGACGCGTCGGATGTGCATCGCAAGCGAAAACGTGAGAACACCAAACACATTGATTTTCTCTAGGGTTTTGAAGCATTTTGGCCTCCTGGATGCATCCTAATGATGCTCTTGTGGGCACTTGGAACCGTCTTGGGGAGTTCTTGGAGCGTCTTGGAACATCATGGGGACTATCTTGAGGCATCTTGCGCTATCTTGAGCCATCTTGGAGGTCATCTTGAGCTCCCTGAGGCCCTCTTGGAGCCGTGTTGGGCCGTCTTGGACGCTCTAACTACCCGCAGCCCTCCCTGTCCAGGTCAGTGGGGAGGGGGTAGGGGGAGGGGTAAACCCCTCCCCGAAGGGGAAGAAGGAGGGGTGGAAGAGGAAACGCTCTAAACCACCGACGCCCAGAGGGCTGGTGGGATTATCCTGGCGAAGGGCCCAACCATATGCAGTTGTGAGTGCCGCACCGCAGTGGTGCGCATCCTCTTCGATGGAGCTCCCTATGGGGCCACGAAGCATGTGAGGGGTGTGCCGAAATGCAGGATGGAACCGCATGCAGGCGCTGCCGCGGGGGAATTCGATGGAGCTCTCTATGGTGCCACGAAGCGTGTGAGAGGTGTGCTGGAATGGACGGTGGAACTGCATGCCGGCGCTGGCACTGGGGCTTTCGGAGGGGCCCTCTAATGGGGCCACGAAACGTGTGAGAGGCGCACCGACGTGAGGGTGGAACTGCATGCGGGCGCTGCCAATGGGGCCTTAGGTGGGGCTCCCTACGGGGCCACGAGACGTGGGAGGGGTATGCCGATATGAGGTCAGGGGTACGGATGGGAGGCGGGAGGACGAGATGGGAGGAGGGAGGATGGGGGAGGAGGAAGGAGGAAGGAGGAGGAAGGAGGAGGAGGAGGAGGAGGAGACGCGGGGCGCTGTTTCTTCAAAACGAGGGCCCAGCACCACAGGATGCTTGGGAACAGAGAGAGAGATAGAGAGAGAGGGAGGAGCAAAAGAGACAGAGAAAGAGAGAGAGAGAGAGAGAGACTGCGGAGAGAGAGCGCTCGGGGTGAGCGCAGGTACCGACGGGACGGGGGGAGGAGAGAGAGCGAGCACGCGTGAAGCTTGAGCGGCGGAGGAGGAGCGATCGGAGAGGAGCCCGAGGGTGAGGAGGGAGGAGGGTGGATGAGGCCGTAGGGGAGAGGGGAGAGGAGGCAAGAGAGAGGAGGAACGGAGGAGGGAGGGAGGGACGAACGAGGAGGAGGCAGACGACGACGCCGACGGCGACGTCGACTCCGGCCGCGGCGGGCCCCCAGGCGAGCCCAGGCAGCTGGAGCGGTACCCCCCCGACCTGCCGCTGCGGGGCGAGCCTCCGCGCCACTTCCCGGGCAGGCCGCCGCCACCAGCCTGCTGGGCGGCGAGCTCGACCACGACGACGACGACCACGACGACCGACGACGACGACGACGACCGAAGACGACGACTGACGACGACAACGAACGACCAGGACGGATGACGACGACGACGACGACGATGTCGACTGACGACGACGACGACCGATGACGACGACGTCGACGACGGACGACCGACGACGACGATGACGACAACGACGACAAACGACGTCGACGACGACCACGATGGCGACGACGACGACGACCGACGACGACGACGCAGACGACGACGACTGATGACGGACGACGACGACGAGGACGGCGACGCCGACGACGAACGACGAACGACGACGACGGACGACGAGCACGACGACGACCGACGACGGATGGCGACTGACGACGACGACCAAGACCAAGGAGGACGACGATGACGACGACCGATGACGACGACGACGACGACGACGACGACGACGAACGACGACGACGACGACGACGACGGACGACGAACAATGACAACGGACGACAAGCACGACGACGACCGACGACGGACGACGACTGACGACGACCACGACAACGAAGGACGACGACCGATGACGACGACGACGACGACGACGGACAGCCGACGACGACGATGACGACGACGACGACGACGCACGACGACGACGACTGACCACGATGACCACGACGACGACGACCGACGACGACGACGACGAGCAAGACCACGGAGGACGACGATGACGACCGACGACGAGCACGACGACGACGACGACGGACGGCGACGACGATGACGACGACGACGGACGAAGAACGACGACGACGGACGACCAGCATGACGACGCCCGACGACGGACGACGACAACGACGACCGATAACGACGACGACGACGACGCACGACGACGACGACGACGGACGACCGACGACGACGACGGCGACAACGACGACGACGACGACGACGACGACGGACGACCACGACGACCACGAACACGAAGGACGACGACTACGACGACGACCGATGACGAGGACGACGACGACGGACGACCTACGATGACGACGATGACGACGACGACGACCGACGACGACGACGACGACGACGACGACGACGACGGACGAGCGACGACGACGCAGACGACGACAAAGAAGACGTCACGTAATCCAAGCCTCGCCTCTTGAGAAGGTCACGGAGGGCGTCCTGTGCCCTTTCTCTGCCTCCAGTGGCCTTGACCCGGGCCGTGGGTCCATGCAGAAGCGATGCGGGACGAGACGCCAGTTTCTGAGAGCCCGGGAGCGTTGATGATTGTGGTGATCTTGGTGCTAATGATGATGGTATTGATGATAGTGATATTGATATTGGTGGTGGTGGCGCTGATGATGATGATGACGACGATGACGATGACGCTGACGATGACAATGGCGATGACGATGACGACTGTGATGTTGCTGCTGATGATGAGGATGAGGATGAGGATGAGGATGCTGATGATACTCATGATGATGCTGAGGTTGATGGTGGTGATGATGATGCTGGCGCTGACGATTTTTCTGTTGTTGTTGATAATGATACTGATGACGTCGATGATGATGATGATGATGATGATGATGATGATGATGGTGATGGTGAGGACGAAGATGATCAGGATGAGGATGGGGGTGATTTTGCTGGTGAGGTTGCTGGTGATGATGATGATGGTTATGACGATGATGTTGGTTATGATGATGATGATGATGATGATGCTGATGATGATGATGATACTGATGATGATGTTGATAATGTTGATGAGTTTGCTGATGATGATGATGCTGATGATGCTGATAATAATAATGATGATGATGCTGATGATGATGATGATGATGATGCTGATGATGATGATGGTGCTGATACTGTTGATGATGCTGATGATGATGATGACAATCAAATGCCTGCTTCATCGAGCTGAACACCCGAGCAACAGAGAGCGGTTCTAACGCGCATGCATGACACGCACGCACACAGACAAGCAACACGGGAAACGAATTCTAGACGCTTCGCGTCACCCTACCAGCCTATCCAGAAACGAAGCCCATATGAGTTGTCTTGATCAGGGATGTGGAGGATCAGGGCTAGGTAAGACGTCATACCCGAAGAGGGGGAGGATGGAGCAGGAGTCGGAGGTGCAGGAGGAGGAGTAGGGAGAGGGGTAGAGGGAGGAGGGAGGAGGAAGGAGGAGGAATAGTCAGATGAGTAACAGGAGGAGGGGGAGGAGGAGGAGGAGGAGGAGGAGGAGGAGGAGGAGGAGGAGGAGGAGGAGCAGAGAGGCCAAAGACTTCATGATGCCTCTCGGAGTCTCCTCGGTTGTTTTTAGAGAGCTTTGTGGAGTCTTCTTGGAGCGCCTTGGAGGTTCTTGGCTGTCCCAGGAGGGGCGCCCTTGAGGCGCCTAGGGTGCTTCTGGGGGGGCCTCGTGGGGACTCTTGGGGGTCTCTTCAGAGCCTCTCGGAGGCATCTTGAGGGCATCTTGGAGACCTTTTGGGGCCTCCTGGACACCTCTTGGGGCCATCTTGGAGGAGATCGATCAAAGGACGGGCCGTACTAAATTAGGCCCTCCCCCAGGAGGCCGAACACGTGCCAACACCTTTTTGCGAAATCAATCATAATGTTGGCCTTCTCGCCGAGACCTCTTAGGGCGAGCGTGCCTCTGGGGAGGGGGGACTTCCGGCGCCTCTCGGGGGTCTTTTGAGAGCCTTGTGTGGGCATCTTGGGGGCCTCTTGGAGCCTCCCAGGCACCTCTTGAGGTCGTCTTGGGGCACCCTTTGGAGCCTCGGTTGCCGTCCTGGAGCCATCTTGGAGGAGATCGCTCAAAGGAGGGGGGGTCCCCTAATTAGGCCCCCCCTAAGGAGCCACATTGTTGCCCAAACCTCCGTAACATCAATGATGTTGGCCGTCTCGCCGAGGCTTGTTGGGGCGTCTTGGGTGCCTCTGGGGTCCCCTTAGGCCCTTGGGGCGTCTTGGGGGTCTCTTGAGAGCCTCTTGGAGACGTCTTGGGGGCATCTTGGGGCCTCCTTGGCGCCTGTTGGGGCCGTCTCGGGGCACCCTTGGAAGCCTCGGGTATCATCTTGGGGCCATCTTGGAGGAGATCTATCATAGGAGGGGCCGATTTAGAGTAGCCCCCCCACCCATGAGGCCAACATGTTGCCAAAACCGCGGTAATATCAATGTGTGTGGCTTCCTCGCCGAGCCCATCTTGGAAGATCTAACGCCTCGTGGCCCCTCCTCTCCAGACCCAGGGGGAGGGGGGAGCGCGAGGAGTCAAGCTACACTCCTAGATAGCAGGCCGTCTGGCTCACTCCCACCCGCCCTCCCAAGGCATCAGTAACACCCGAGTGTCAGCAGATCGCTTGGGAACGTTACAAATGCCATGCGCGCCACGGGTTCCAGGTGCACCACGCACTTTCGAGGCCCAAGCGTGCCGGCTGCGTCACATGCTCCACGTGCGCCAACTGTGCCACGCGCTCCAGCCGCGCCAGGTGCGCCAGCTGCGGCGAACCACTAGGAATCCCAGCCTCGGGCCCTGGCCCCAAGGAGTTGAGGATCTCAAGCCCCCTTGCAGCGAAGTGCCGAGTTCTTGGTGAGGCGGCTCTTCCAGGGAGCCCAGAGCACTGACATCGATGGACAAATTGTGACATCTTGAGGAGTCGTGAAGCAGTCTGTGCGTGCTCCAGTTTTGAATCCAAAGTATGCCAAAGTATATGTTTGTGTCGCTGGTTGATGGGGATGGTTGGCCTGCGCGCAGCCAGCAACATGCCGGCGCCCCCGCCGCCCCTGTCAAAAACCATGCAGCGCGGCCAGACTTGGAGGCAACGTACATTCTGCACTGCTTTTGTAGAGGGATGGTGGGGAGGGCTCATTGGGCCGGGTCGGCAGCTGGTCGTCCGGCCGAGGGGGCGCGTGTTCGTTCATAGTTGGGGAACATGTCTGAATTTGTGGAAGTCGATTTATGGAGAGGAAGCGTGCAGCCAAATCATTTCCAGATGTCTAAAAGATGTTTCAACTATGCTTTAAACATGTGTCAATCAAATTTAACACCTGTTTAGAACATTTTTCCTACATTTAATTCAATGATAGGACTGTTAGGGTGTCTATTGTCGCGGCATCCACAAGCATACACCATTTCCCGAAGCGAAGGAGGTTGGAGGAAGAACAACAACCCAACACCACTCACGCCCTAACGGGCTGGTGGGATTCTTCACGCTTCGCGCAGTTCTCACCAGCCCATCCAGACACGATTCCCAGCGGAGCTGCCCTGGACGGGGGAGCGTGGCATTGGTTGAATACATCGGGGGCTGTATTGGCCAGAGGCCCTGTGGATGTTTCCTTGGTTCTCATGGGGTGTCTCTTGAAGTTACCTTGGGCCTCTTGGGGGCATCTTTTGGGGCATCTTGACGGTTCTCGGGAATGGCTCTTGGAGCATTTTGGGTGCTACTAGGGGGGCGCTTTGGGCCTGCCGTGGGCCTCTTGGAGGCCTCTTGGGTTTTTTTGTGGACTTTTCGCGTCGTCTTGGGGCCATCTGGGAGGCTAGCGATCAAAGAATGGGGGGTCCTCAAGTAACTTCCCCCCATGAGGCCCACATTGAGCTCAAACCTACGGATCATACCTATACGGCCGCCCTGCGGGCGATAAGGAGGTGGGGGGGATCGAGATCAAATGCCCACCCTGACTGACCTCCAGCCTGTCACCTTGATCTCATCTCATCTCTATGTGTCTCTCTCTCTCTCGCCCTCTCTCTCTCTCTCCCTCTCTATCAGAGTCTCCCTCCACCACAACGATGATCGCGATGACGATGAGATCCAACTTTCTACCTATCCGTCGACCGAACTATCGGTGAATGTCACTGTCGATCTCACTATCGACCTCAAAAGCAAAATGAGAAAGCCCGCCGCGGGCGCCGAAAAACGATTTCTTGTCGGACAACCACAGGACAACCATCGGCACAACCACCAGACAACCATCAGGACAATCACAAGAACATCACGAGACAACCATCGCATACTAGATAATATCTGTGTCTCTCTCTCTCTCTCGCTCTCTCTCTCTCCCTCTCTCTCTCAGTCTCCCCCTCCACCACAATGATGGCAGTGACGATGGGTGATGGCTGCGGCGGTGCTGACAGCAGCGATGGCGGTGGATTGGGTTGGTGATGGGTGCGGCGGTGCTGACAGATGGATTGGATAAGATAAGATGGATTGGATTGGCCCGCCGCAGGCGCAGGAACAAATGAATTGATGGATTGGGTTGGGTGGATTGGATTGGGTGGGATAAGATCAGATGGGACAAGATGGGTTGGAGCAGATAAGATGGATTGGATTGGATTGGACAAGATGCATTGGATAAGATAAGCTGAATTGGATAAGAAAGCCCGCCGCAGGCGCGTAAAAAAATGAATTATGAAATTAGCGACATGCGTTAGCGCCGGGACGCCTGGTACACCCGGGACACCTGGGACACCGCCCGGCCCTACTGGGACACCTCCCTGCCACCGGCGGGCGGGAAACGGGTTTTCGCTCCTACTGACACCCGGGACACCCGGGACACCGCCCAGCCCAACTGGGACACCTCCCAGCCACCGGCGGACGGGAACGGACTTTCGTTCCTACTTCGGCCTAGCTACAGGAGGATCACGCGCAGCTTCGCCTCGCCCGCATGCACGACACGAAACCGAAACCGATTTCCCGGTGGGGGGTCTCCGTTTCACTGCGATCTCACCCCCCAACGTCCGATATATTGCATATGTTTCTCTTTTCGCTAATATTTTATTGAACGCTCTATATAACCGATCGTGCCCCCCCCGTCCAGACCCAGATAAAGAGGAGATAGACTCCTCCCCGAAGGGGAAGAAGGGTTTTGAAAGAGGAAGCGCTCTAAACCATCTACGCTCTAAAGGCCTGGTGGAGTTAACTGCATGCGTGAATTCGGTCGGAACTTCCTGGGACCGCGCATTCAAAATATCAAAACGTCGGAGTCCTGGGGCCAACGACAGCGTTTGCGACGGGGTGGTAGGCGACGACCGACACGAGGACTCTGACGGCGACGGCTGCAACGGCGCCGTCGCCGCTTTCGCCGCCAGGTTCGAAGAGCGATATTCAGGTTTTTCTGACGTTGGGCCCTTTATGGACCTCAGGAGGCCTCTGAAAACCCCTAGGAGTCTCCGGGAACTTCTGGAGACGTTCAGAGGCAGAGGACGTCGTCGATCGTTGTCATCGTCGCCGCCGTCGCCACTGACGTTCTCCTTCCTGCGCCTCGAAGGGAGGGGCCGTCGCCGCCACGTCGTGACACGCCTCCACGGCCTAGTCTCAAGGCCCCATGACGCAGCAGAGGTCTGGCGCCGCCGCCGCCGTCGTTGATCTCGCCGCCCTCGTCGTTGTGGTCCTTGTCGCCCCCGTCTTCGTCGTCGTCGCCGTCGTCGCCTTCCTCGTCGCCGTCCCCTGCCATGCCTCCCCGTCGTAGTCGACGCCGCCGTCGTCGTCGCATCTGCCGTCGTCGACTTCGTCGCCCTCCTGCCCGGCAGGCCAGTGGCGTTCTTCTCCGCGCGGGTTCACCCTGGCGAGACGCCTCGCGCTCGGGATCGCCGAAGATTGGGGGACAGGCTGACGACGACCCCGACGCAGACGACGACGACGACGACGACAACGACGACGCCTACGACGACGCCGACGACGCCGACGACGACGACGACGACGACGACGACGGCGACGACGACGACGACGACGACGACGGCGACGGCGGCGGCGGCGGCGGCAGCGACTGGAGGCGACGACGGCACCGACGGCAGTTCGCTGTGGGTGACTGCGGCATCCTGGGCATGGGCGCCCGATCCTGATCTCGCCGCTCGTGCCCACACACGCCTTGTCGGGGGCGGAAAAGAGGGGGGTGATGACTAGGGGGGGGTGGATATCATGGCGCGGGCCATGATTTTTCCCCAGATTTCATGGCGCCTCTTCTTGTTTCATTACGTCCCTGGCCCCCCCGCTGGGCCGCGCACATGCCGCCGGTCATGATTTGCGCCCCCCCCTCTTGGACACCCCCCTCTTGGCCGCTCCCGACCTTGACGAGGTTCACCCTGAGCTCCACCAACGAGCACGGTGGATTCTGAATCGTCGCCACTCCGCCCTGCAGCTTGCCGATCAGGCTCGGGCGATGGAGCGGCCGATCGTGATCGGATTGATCAATCGGTGAATCTCACGCTATCTGTGTCGGAGTGACGCAGTAGCCGCGCCTTTGCGGAGGCAAGAGGCGGGAGGAGGAATGAGGATGCGGAGGACGAGAACGGAGGGAGGAAGACGAGGAGCGTGTTCAGGACGAGGGCGAGCAGGAGGCGCTGCACAGAGACGAGGGCCGCGAATGCCCCCTCCGGTAGACGACGACGACGACGACGACGACGACGACGACGACGACGACGACGACGACGACGACGACGGCTGTTCGCCGAGCGCGTTCCACTACTCGCGAACTGCCTACTCGCAAAAGTTATGCAAAAAATGCATGTCTGTCTCGATGTACAGGATCGTAAATTCACCGCGGCGGATCCAGGCCATTTGCGAATAGCTACATTGCGAGTCGTAGAACGTGCTCGTTAGCGTTGGCGATCTCGGCGAGGAACACGACGGCGAACGGAGGGCACGGAGGGTTTCATGTTCTCGAAGGATGTTCTGTCCTAGGTCCAACCGTTGGAGATCCACTGCAGACCTGATGCACTCTATAACGGCAGTCTTCGTCGTCGAACCTAGGACACAGACGTGGAAGTCTCGCAGGCAAGCGCACATTCTACGCGTTTGTCGCAAATTCGGCGGGAACTTCAATTTCCGGGAAACTCACAGTGGGGGCGCGTATCAAGAAACCATATGTTGTTTCGTCAGGGTATCCAGGTTTCTGCGCTCCTCGCGCTGCGAGGTGACTTCCCGCAGCCGTTGCAGGAGCTGCTGCGTTCAGGGTGCTCCAGGTTTCCCCTCGGGTGCACCTCGCGCACGGGTTCTCAGGGTTGGGTATCTTCCGAGGGTTTCTTGAGGCCGCACCCGCACTGTACAGTCGGGGCGCTGAAGAAGAAACCCTTTTCGTTGGGGAGGGGCTCGGTGTTCCTTGATAGTTGTAGATTTTGCCTTGGGTGCTCCTTTCGTTTTTCCATGGGAAGTCAGAACCTAACTTATTGGAACAAGGGGCCTCGTTCCTTATTTAGGGTTCCTTCGGTCGAGGCCCCGACTGTACTCGAAGCGACCAGGGCGGCGAGAACGACGACGGCGGCGGCGGCGACGTCGACGAGCCTCCTCCGGCGGCGGTAAGGCGCCGACGGCGGCGGGCCCGCGAGGCCTGGCCAGTTCGCCCTGCTCGGGGCCCTGCGGCTGCTGCTCTCCGAGGACCCGCGCGCCGCGGCGCTGCGGGAGGCCTTCGTGTTCAAGGCGGCCGCGCGCTCGAGGGGTGGAGGCGTAAGTTGACGAAGGAGCAACACACACCCATACACATAGGTCAGGAGGGGAAAAAACACACAGACATAATGAATCGTCGACTCCCAGGAAAATATGCAAACATATGGGAAGTGGGGGGGAAGACAAAAACCCCACAAATATTTGAACATATGGAGAATATTTTTATGTGTGTATTTATGTGTGTGTCCTGGGGCCCCTTCAATGGGGGGTCGATGGGAGGAGGACTGGCTGTGGGTATGGGTGCGGGTTGAAGGAGCCTGGGGAACGCTCCCGTTCGAGCGGGGGCCCCCATCTGGCAACACGCACCCGTAGCCCTCTCCTACCCTTCTATGGGTATGGGTGTGTGTTGTTGGTTCGTCATAAGTCGGGCCTGTCCCTCTACAGAATAGCCAAATAATAGTCTGGGGGCGATGTTTCTATTATGTTTTTTACCCATTTTGAGTTCTTGGGTGTATCTGCGGTTTTTCCCTCAAGATCCGCCTGCAGGGGGATATGCCCGACCTAAGTGGAGACTCTCCAGAGCCCCCGTCGGGTCTTTCTCACGAAGCCAACATCGCAGAGCGGGTTCCTTTCGGGAGACAATCGGATGGGCCCGGATTGTCCTGGAGAGTGCCGCTCTGGATTTCGAAGTGAGTTTTGTGCGGATCCTTTTGGCCATGCATGCAGGAGTGAAACCTACAAAATATCCACATGGAAATTCGGGTAGTTCTTCGCTCGCCGTTTCGGGGCTTCGCATTGGCAGAAGTCCACTCATCCGCTGCAGCACGTCTGCAAGGTCGGTGCAGCGAGTCTTTCGCACCACACGACGGGAGGGTTTTCGCTATGTTCAGCCTTCCCCCTCCCCCTCCCCCTCCTCTTCCTCCTCCTCCTCCTCCTCCTCCTCCTCTTCCTCCTCCTCCTCCTCCTCCTCCTCCTCCTCCTCCTCCTCCTCTTCCTCCTCTGGGGGCCCCTACCGGGCCTCGGGACCGTCAAACAGCGACTCAGGATGAAAACCCGGTCCCGGGGAGTTGGCGCCCCCTTCCTTGTTTTCGGCTTGTTTGGGCCTCCTAGGAGGCCGTCGTCGCCACCGCTGGGTTCGCCATGAAAGTCTGGTCAGAACGCGCTCCGGGAGAGGTCCAGGGAGCACCTTTTCGTTTCCCCAGTTCGAGGGGTGACGGCTCTGGGGGCTGGGCTTCTGATCAGAGGCGAGCTCAGGGGAGAAGTCAGGGGGGGCGGGCTTTCTTAGAAGGCTCGGGAGGCCTCAGGCCTTTTGAGAAGCGTTCTGATGAACAGAGATGCAGGGAGCTTCTAAGGATGCCAGGGGGCTTCTGATAAGCCCCGCCGCCTTCTGGGAAGGCCAGCCCCCTCTCACTTCTCCTCCTCCTCCTCCTCCTCCTCCTCCTCCTCCCCCTCCTCCTCCCCCTCCTCCTCCTTCTCCTCCTCCTCCTCCTCCTCCTCCTCCTCCACCTCCTCCTCCCCTGGGCTCGCCACCCATCTGAGGATCGCGGGGAGGGGTAGAGGGTAGAGGTTCGAGGTCCGAGACTGGGGGATCGAGAGCCAAGACCTGAGGATCAGGGGGGAGGGGGAGGAGGGGGGGAGCAAGAGTGTCCACGGCTCGATGTGCAGGGGATCGACGTGGTGAGGATCGAGGAGCGGGGGCATATCGGTGTGTGAGGTTCGATCGAGGATCGGGGTGCAGGCCTCGCGAATGGGGTCCGAGTAGATGGGGTCGGGGGATCGCGCCGCGTCGCCGATACACCTCCGATGCGGCTCGGTGTGGATCCCGAGTTTCTCCACGCCAATGGCGCAAGTGCGTTACGTACCGGCGTCGCCGATGCATCGGCGATGCGGCGCGATCCTCCGATCCCATCTTCTTGGACCCCGTTCGGGAGGCCTCGGAGGATCGATGTGTGAGGATCGAGGCTCGAGGATCGAGGATCTCCAGTCCTCCCACATGGGGTCCGAGCAGATCGGCTCGGAGGATCGCGCCGCACCAACGCCCGATACATCGGCGACGCGGCTCGATGCGGACATCCGACGTTGTGCCCTCGCCGACGGCCGAAGCATCCCCGACGTTACTCGGGCCCCGGTTGGGAGCCTCGAGGATGAGGATCGGGGGGAAGGGGGAGAGGGAGGAGCAGGAGTGTCCGCGGCTCGGTTCGGTTTCGCGGCGGTCGGTTTGGGTTCGGTTGGCTGTGGCGTCACCGCGTCTCTCTCTCCCTCTCTCTCTCTCTTTTTCTATCTCTCTCTCTCTCTCTCTCTTTCTCGGCTGCATTCAGTCGTTCGGTTCGGTCGGTTTCGATTTCAACGTCGGTTCGGTCACGTTTCGGTTATGTTGTCGCAGTGGACGCCTGCCTATGAGGAGGAGGAGGAGGAGGAGGAGGAGGAGGAGGAGGAGGATGTGGAGAATGAGGAGGAGGAGGGGGAAGGACGAATCGGAGGGCGGGGGAGAGAGAGGAGGCTGAGGAGAAGGAGGACGGGGCGGGGCAACTGGAGTGGGAGGAGGAGGGGTGGATCGAGGATCGAGGTTCGAGGGTAGATTTGTTGTCGACGCGTTTGACAAACTTGCTTGCTCTCCTCCCTCCCTCTCCTTGCTCCCTCCTTCTTTCTCACTTTCCCCAACCCCCTTCTGCCTTCTGTCGCGAACAAACCACGACGTCTTTCTTGCTGCTGCCACTATCTGGCCTGTGCGGGCTCGTACGCGGGCCCTGGGACAGCCAAACAACGAGTCAAAGCGAAAAGCTGGTCCTGGATTCGAGCTTCGAGGACCAGGGTGTGAGGATCGACCTTCGAGCATCGATGTTCTGTTGGGCGGTTGCTGCCCCATACAGTGAGCGGCTTGAATAAGGCACGCTTACTTTTCAAAAAGGGCTCGGTCGCTCCTCGGGCTTGCATGCGTTATTTATCGTTCCTGATGCGTTATGTCTTATTTCTCGTTCCTTATAATGCGATGCTCCTTGGAAAAAGAGGGGCTTCGTTCCTCATTTCTCGCTCCTTAGGTCAGGCCGATGACTGCAGTGTGCCTCCAGACGACGGTGGGACCGGTCTCGGGGGCCCCCAAGCGGGGTGGTGACCACACCGTGTGGTGAGTCGGTGGGGGTTCGGGGTCGCCGCCCAGTTTTCGGACTCGGGTCTCTCTGAGGATGTCTCGGGCGACTGGAGCCTCCAGGGCCCCAAAACCGTGCGCTGACGGACCGTGCGGTGAGGTCTTTGGGGATTTCGAGGTCACCGCACGGTCTGGCACCGCACCGTTTTGGGACTCCAAACGGTCCCTTGCTTCGTTCTGAGTCTGCAAGATGGGTTCGTTGGACAAGGTGTAAGTGTGGCATGTCCCTCTTCAGGAGGAATGTTCAAACATACTTTTACAAAAAGATCGCCTGGGGGCGATTTATCTAATATTTTTGGTTGTGGTTTGAATATGTGTTGACTGTCTTTGATTCGTCTCCAAAACTCCGCCTGTAGGAGGACATGCCCGACCTAAGACAAGGTTGGTCTCGTCAGATCTGAGGCGCCTCCAGCCGACTTGAGGCCCCCCAGCTCGACCTGAGGCGCCCCTGCAGCCGTCGAAGTCACCCTGCTTGAACCAGACCTCGCCGTTCCCGACCTTCGCGCGCCTCTGGCCCTTTGGCGTTCTTGGTGGCCCTCTTGGGCCCCTCTGGGGCGCCCTCGTCACCACGGCTGGATTCCCTTTGTAATTCTGCTCAGGGCGGGCCTGATGGCCGATTTGTCACTTCCTCCCCAGGCCTCCAGCGTCTGGAGCAAATCCAGACAGAGAGGCTCATTGTGCTGAAAGGTCTCGGTGTCGGGGGGCCGTATTTGCGGGCTCCGCAGCCGTCAGAAAGACCTTGGCGGGCGTGGCGTGGCGTGGCGTGGCGGGCGTGGCGTGGCCTTCTCCACCCCGCCTCCCCTCACCTCCGCTGCCACGGAAAAGTCGCCGCGGCTGGTCAGTCAACTTGTTCGGCCTTCGGAGGCCGTAGCAGGCCCGCGTTGGCCCCAGGATCGTCAGGGAAACTACCCCGGACGAGAAGCCGCTCACCTCGACGTGGTCGAGAGGGCCGATGGCCCAGGTGAGAGAAGGGGGCGTTTCCTCCTCTTCAGCCTCCTCCTCATCTTTCGCTCTCCTCCTCCGTCTCACGTCTCCCCCTTCTCTCTCATCCTTCCTCCCCCTTTCTCGGTCGTCATCCCTTATCCGCCTCCTCCTCCACGTAGTTGTCCTCCTTCTCCGTGGCCATTGCAGCTGAAGATGGCATATTCTAATTTGCGGTTCAAGTGAGCCTATGCATGTTTTGATATTTCAATCTTGCATTTCGAGTTTGTGCGCTCTGTTGCGAATGTTCCGTATCATGGACGTTGTGAGTGGACATCGTTCGTATTTGTTCGACCGTGCGATGCGTTTTCTTGCAGATCATGTTGATCGCCATCATATTCGGTTGCATGTCGTTGCACACACCCACCGCTATGCTCTATCCAACTCTGCGCGACGGCGCTTGAATCACACAGGCATCGAGTACCAGCTCGCCAGGTATCACACCATGCAGTGGGAACACGAGTTCATGATTGCATTGGAACATGAATTCAAAACTGCTTCCTTTCCGTCCTAGTGAGCCGCGCACACGGGCGCCTTGTTATTGCCGGTCTCGTAGTCGTGATGCGCATCATTGAGACCATCTCGCTCAGGTATTCAGCCCACGGCAGTGCATGTAGTGTTTGTGCCTGAATGTTTACCCGTGTCGCATCTGGCGTTTGATTGGCAATTGGCCCTTTACCACGATCTCGCTTCTGCACAGAGTGACTCGATTGCCAAACCACGAGCGTCATGCTGAAATATCTGCTGGGTCTGCAGTCAACGGTAATGACGCGACCCACATTCAGGACGACGAGGGCACATCGTCAGGTGGTTCTTCGAATTTGTCTGCATCCTTTCACGTTTTTCATATATGAATGGCCAGAAGCAGAGTTATGAGTACGACAGGGAGCTCGATGCCAAGATTTTGTGTACTGTCGACGCTGCCGTGTCTGCCGGCAGGACTCCCGCTTTGATTCAGGGTGCTTTTCAAGATGTTGCGTTTAGCATCGGATTTCCGCTCGCAGAGACGGTTGTCCCTACCGTCGTTCAGCAATATGTGCTTGGCATCGACGAGGGCCTTTCGAATCTGATGGATGTGGTGATCACTCACGGAAAGCAGGTTGTATGAAAATGCCCAATTCCATGCGGCCCCGATCCAGAGCAGCTTGCCACGGTCACCGAGCTCACGAATTTCCTACGTGCCGAAATCCGTGGGCTGGCGCACCGCATCGACAGTTTGGAGGGTACACGCTACGATAAGGTCGCAGGCGCCATAAGGTCGATCGTGTCTGTCGCCGCCCAGAGGAAGGCATCATATATCAGGAGAGAGGAGTTCCACATGTATTCCGCCGCGCATTTCAGGCAACATGTGCAGCCGGAGACTTGGATCCCGAGGGCCGCTTCCTCGGTCTGCGGGTTCTGGCGGCCTCGATGGCTCGAGGTTTGACTTCATCGATTCTGAACCGGATGAGCCTTACCTTGCCTGATCCGAGCTTTGTTCTTTGGCTGGCGGTCTGCTCTGTTCATCGCTGCGCTTCGACGTTTTCATCGCGATATACGGGATCACAGAGACGTTCTCTCTTACTTCCTGTACGTTGTGTTCGTTGTGTATGATATGAGGTTTGTGCCTATTTTCATTCGCCACGGTGTGGCGGGCCGATTATCTCCTGTGTTAAAATGTAAGAGACTCTTTGGATACGCTCCGCCTGCTCCTCGTCTTCTTCCTCCTCCTCGTCCTCCTCCTCTTCGCCCCTCCTGCTCCCCATCCTCCTCCTCCTCCTCCTCCTCCTCCTCCTCCTCCTCCTCCTCCTCCTCCTCCTCCTCCTCCTCCTCCTCCTCCTCCTCCTCCTCCTCCTCCCCCCCTCCCCCCCTCCCAAGCGACGTGCGTTCCTCACTCACCCACCTCCTCATCCCTTACCCGTCTGCTGTTCGTCCCCTCCGAAGCGACGTGCGGTCCTCCTCCGTCCTCTTCCTCCTCTTCCGAAGCAACGTCCTTCAATCATGCGCTCCTCCTCAACGACACTTCCTCATCCCCCCGCTCTTCCCCATTTGCGCCCCTTCTCATCCTTATCCTGCCTCCCTTCTCTTCCTCCTGCTCCTTTTTTCTTCAGGCCCCGACGTCGTGATTCTGTCACGACTTGGTCCCCAGGTCTGGACGGTCTGGACCCTTCCCTGGGTTCAGTTTTCCATCCTGCGTCGCTTGAGCGGCCCGGACCAGCAGGGGCAAACGTCCGTCGTGTTCTTTTGCTTTGCGCAACCCGTAGAGGTATGCTTTCTCCTCCTCCCTCTCTTCCTCCGCCTCCTCGTTCACCTCCCTGCTCCCCCCTCTTCCTCGAAAGAGAGGTTGTGCCGATGCTGAACCCGGACGGCGTGGCCAGGACGCCAGAGGTTTTTGTTCTCCTGCAAGAGTTGGGGCGCTTGGCGCTTGGTGTGAAGGGGGAGCGGGGGAGGAAGAGGAGGAAAAGGAGGAAGAGGAGGAGGAGGAGGAAGAGGAGGAGGAGGAGGAGGAGGAGCAGGGTGAGGACGAGAGGGAGGTCGGGGGGGACGGAGCCACGGCTGGCCGCGATTCGACACATCGCGCCAAGATCGTGCTCAGGTATAACGCTGAGAGCGATGTTGAGATGGCTCTCGGCAGGAGCCGGACACAATCTTGACGTGTTGTGTGTTCGTTCAGCGGCCCGTCGGGAAATCCTGCCGGCCGGTCGGGGTCGCCAGGGCGTTGCGACCATTGAGCTCGTACCAGCACAGTCAGGATTTCTTGCACCGTGTCGCGGCGGCAGCCACTACGACACGGCGTGCTTTGAGAGTTGATAGCTTGCCGCCCTCGAAGTTGCATTCGAAGCAACAAAAACCGTCGCATTGGAGGTCTGGAAACATGCGGAATGTTGACAGCGTGTCGCGTACATTGGGCCAGAACCAGCGTCGCGAGACGATACACAAAAGTGCCTTACCTCAGGCCAGCGCGCCGAGATGTGGACAGCGTGTTCATGCTGATGCTGTCTGCTGCTGCTGATGCTGATGACGACGGTGACGATGATGACGACGACGACGACCACGGACGACGACGTCGACGACATGATGATTCGATGCTGATGATGCTGACGACGACGACAACGACGATTACCCTGATTATGATTATGATGATGACCACGATGACGATTATGATGTTAATGGCGATGGTTACGACGAGGATGATGATGATTATGGTGACGATTGTGACGAGGACGAGGAGAAGGAAGATGAAGATGATGATGGTGATGAGGAGGATGAGGACTACGACGAGGAAGAGGTGGAGGCGGAGGAGGAGGAGGAGGAGGAGGAGGGGAAGACCAAGCCCAGGGCTGCAGGTTACTAGCGGGTAGCGCGTGATTATGCGCAGGCCTGCTTGGTGGACCTCGGACAAGTCATTGGAGGCGCAACAAGCTATCATGGCTATCCAAGTTCCGTCGTCGTTTCGCTGGTGGAGACGTGGGCCGCACTGCGGAAGGCGCCCGCCTTGCCTGACGCTTTTGCAGCGGAGCTCCACGGCAAAGGCTTCATGAACGAGAAGGCCGATCGCCCACGGGCTGCCGAGCTGTGCCAGCCGGCGTTCGCGCAGCGTTTCACGTCCGCAGAGCAGCTGATGCACACGTGCCTGGGATGGTGGAACGAGGAGGTCAGGTACAGTCGGGGCGCTGAAGAAGGAACCCTTCTCGTTGGCGAGGGGCTCGGTGTTCCTCGATGGTTTTCCCGTTTGCGTTGGGTTTCCCATGGGAGATCGAAGTTCAACGTATGGGAAAAAGGGGCCTCGCTCCCTATTTAGGGTTCCTTAGGTCAACGCCCCGACTGTAGGTGGTCGCTGTACTTGCTCCGGGCGCCACGCCGCGCCTGCAGAGGCCCGCCCTCCGCGTCCTCCGCGTTGGGAAGACGAGGGCGCGGCCGCCCTGGCGGAGGCCCTCCGGGCCCGGTGCGCCCTGCCGCGCCTCTGCACCTGCTCGGCCGCCCGCGCCCACCGCGCGGGGGGCGAGGGCGCGGCCGCCCTGGCGGAGGCCCTCCGGGCCCCGGGGCGCCCTGCCGAGCTGGCAGGCGCTCGGCCTCGGCGCCCACCGCGTGGGGGACGAAGGCGCGCGTGCGGCGCTGCGCGCGCGCGCGGCGTGGGCCGCGGGCGGCTGGCCCGAGGGCGGCGAGGTCGAGGTGCCCATTTCGCCGGCGCGCTCCCGAGGGGCTGGACCGTCTGAGGGCCTTCCCGCTCGCAGTCTCCAGAGCCCCCGCCGGACTGGTCCTGCTCCTCATCCGCACCTCCTGCTTCCTGTCCTCTCTCTCACGCTCTCTCTCTCTCTCTCTCTCTCGTTCTCTCTTCCTCGTTCTCTTTCTCTGTCTCTGTCTCTTCCTCTCTCTCTCTCTCTCTCTCTCTCTCCCCCCCTCCTCAATCTCTCTCTCTCTCTCTCCCGTCGCACTTTCTCTCTCTCCCTCTCTCTCTCTCTCTCTCCGAGTCCTCTCTCTCTCCCTCTCTTGCTCGCTTTTCTATATGTCCCTCTCTCTGTCCCTCTCCCTGTCCCTCTCCCCGTCCCTCTCTGGAGGAGCCTAGTGCTGGTCCCAGGTGCAAGTGTTGCGACGGCGACGACGAGAGTCAAGCTCGCGCGGTCCTCTCGTACCCCTGTCGGGAAGCGGGGCGGGCCCCCCTTTGGGAGGAGATCTCGGTGGAGGAGCGCAGAACGTACTGTTAAGTCGGGCCTGTCCCCCTACGGGGGAATATTCGACGAACAATAGATCATACCCCAAACATAGTCAAAACATAGCCCAAAAATAGTATGGGACTATTTTGTTGAGTATGTTTTGACCTTTTTGGGGTATGTTTTATTTTTCGTCGACCCCTGCAGGGGGACACGCCCGACTTAAACGTACTGGAAGATGTGGGGGGTCGGCCGCTTGGGCAGCGAGAGAGGCAGAAGAGCGACGCAACAAAAAGGAGTCGTGTGCTGCGACATCCGCGCACAGGCTGCCAGCGTGAGGTCGCGCGTCACCGCCCTCGTTTCCGCTGTGGCACGGCGCGTCGGCGGCCCGCGTGAGCCGCCGCGCGAGGTCGCTACGCCATCTCGCGCAAGACCCGCCTTTGATCGTCGCTCGAATTGGAACAGGCGGGCGAGAAGGAGCCCTCTCCCCCCGGGGATGCTTCGGGCCACCTCGAAGGTGCTTTCTGCAGAACGGATGTACTTGCGCTCGACCGTGGCCGCGATCTCTCGACCGTCGCGAACCCTTGGCATTCCGGAGGGTCCGTTCGGAATCTCAGCACGTCGCAGGACGTTCCAGATTCTGTAGGCATCCCGAAGTTTTCTGAGGATTCGTTGGGGATCCTCTGGATTCCTCCGGCTTATGGAAGATTCGTTTGGAGTTTTCCGAATTGTTGATGGGCCTTTAAGATTCCTCCGGAATCCTCACCACATGTCAGGATCTGTTGAGAATCTCCAGAGTCCCTCAGAATCTTTCAGGATCCAGAAGCTTTCAGAATCTTTTATGGTTTTAATATGTTCAGAATCGACAGAATCTTCTAGAAGCCGACATAATCCTACATAATCTTTCAGAACCCTGCAGCATCCTTCAGAATCCTTGAGACATCTTTTCGAATCCTTCAGTCGGATGGATTTCTCAGGATTCCTCAGGAGTCCTCAGGAGCCCTCAGGAGTGAAGCCCTTCAGACGCTCTTCAGAAGCTCTCTTCGCGTGTGTAAACTCGGGTTCCCCTCGTAGATTAGTTAGTACGGGAATCCTTTAGGTTGCGATCAGTTCGTTTCCAGTGGATGTAATCGGTCCCAAGTTGTTCGTGAACAGTCCGAAGTGGTTGTCCCCTACCCTCGCCCGTCAGCTTCACCATCGCCATCCCTCTATTATCCCCCGTCCCCTCCACCTCCCTTCCTCCCTCTCGCCCATCACATCCGCCATCCTCTCTTCGGCTCTCCCTGACAGGCGCCCCCCCGGCTTCTCAGGAAGGCGGCATCCCACGCCGTTCGAATGCGTCCGAAATCGTTGAAGCTTGGCGTATCCTCATTGGCTGCCTTCAGCTCCCGGCGCCTCTCGGCGTCCTTCGGCGGCAGCTCCGGCAGCCGTTAGTGCGCGCGCTAGGTAATTAGGTTTCGCTCGCAGCCCGGGCTGACTTCGGACGCCGCCTGCGCCTTCGCTTGCGGCCGCGACCAAAACATCCTCATAAGCACGTCGAGAAACGGTATCGGGCCGATTCGCTTTGGTTATGAATGTGGATGTGCATGCAGCCTGGGAGAGCGCACTCTATGTTTTCGGGGATCTTCCGAGGGAGAAATTGGAAGGATGAGGACATGGAGCAGGGACGAGGGAGGAGGAGAAGTAGCAGGACGACGATGCGGAGAAGAATGAGGGAGGAGGAGGAGAAAGCAATGCGATCGGAAGGACGAGGGGATGATTCAATAGGCGCCGCACGTTTGATCCAACGTTGCACTTTAGTTAGTGCTGCCCCGCTCGGTGCCATGGAACTGTTCGATATAGTCAGGCTACTGGTCGGAGCTCGCTCAGGGCCAAAACTCATGGTTGCAGGGGTTGTCGTCGCCAATGTTGTAACAAGCGTTATCGTCGTTGCGGCCGACTTCAAGAATTGGGTTGGCGTTGGGCAGTCTGAGATGAGGAGACAGAAAACACATTGATGGAGGATCTGCACTGCGCCATGCAGAGCAAGTGCTTTGGCGCGGCGCTCAGCGTGTACAATGGCATGATGAAAGAAACAAGGCGTTCTATTGGGACGATGGCTCGACTGACTTCGCCAAGCGAGTTTGGCGGGATCGTGCGAATGCCGAAGTCGATAGCGTCAAATGCCAGTACAGAGATTCGTTCAGCAGGGCGAAAGCGAGGCTTGGCAGACAGGGGCAATGCATGTGCCTCGCGTCAAGCCCAGAGATCGGACTCGATGGAACGAGATTGCGTCTTGGGTCGCCGGGGAGGTGGGGAGCGTAAGCATCGCTGGCGACGCCAAGCACCGCTTCCACGAACTGCTCATGGATCCCAGGATGATGAACATCGAGATTCGAGGATGGCGCGTTGCGTGGCAGGGGAGCTCGAAGGCTTCATGGAAAGTGTAGGCAACAGGGCGGAGCCAGTCACGATCTGCTCTCTTGAGGGAGGTGAGGAGGCCGAGCGGGAGCGGCGGTATCTGCTCAGCCAGGGCAAGACGGCACATTCGCGGAGGACGATACGTGTAAAGTGTTTTGAGCACCTGCAGGAATTCCTGGACTACTTGGGAGCGCTGTGATCTTTGGCGGCGGCGGGAGCCCACGTCACCGACGACGCACTCGCGGAGGACGACGATCGGTGCGAGGTGCGTTGAGCACCTGCAGGAGTGAGCTCTTGGACTACTCGGAAGCGCTGTGGCCGTTGGGCGCAGCATGAGTTCACGTTGATGGCGGCCCCGTGCTGATTCGTGGCGCAATGGCAGCATTGACGGCAGTGGATGGCCCGAGGGGTCGTTGCAGGTTCGACGCGCATGACGAACAGAGAGGTTAAGGTTGGGCCCGAGCTCTGCTACTGTGCAAGATGACGCCAGTCGAAGGGATGACCAGGAACAGAAGAAGGAGGGAGGAGGAAGAGGAGCGAGGGAAAGAGGGAAAGGTATACCGATACTCGCTGTCCAGGGGCAACTCTCCAGGCGCGTCAAGAACGCGCGGGTGCAAGAGGAGGAGGAGGGATGGAAGGAGGAGAAGGATGAGGAATGAGGAGCAGGACGGGGATGGAGGACGAGGCGGACGAGGAGGAAGGAGGAGCAGGACGAGGATGAAGCAGGAGGAGGAAGGAGGAGCATGGCGAGAGGGGCAGAGAAGGAGGGGGGAAAGGAGGAGCAGGAGGCGGAGGAAGGATGAGGTGAGGAGGGATGGCGGAGTGCAAAGCGACCTGCGCCGACCAGGGGCCACTACCGGACGAACAGCCGCGGCCTCAATCTGAACCGGCACTACGACGCCCCCGTCCGCGCCGAACACGAGGCAGTCTGGTCCGTCCGCCGCCTCCTGGAGCACCGCCCAGCGAAAACTGCGGCCGGCTCGTGTCGGATTGAGGTTCGAGGATCGAGGTTTTCGGAAGTTCTTCCCCGCGCCGCGCCAGGGCAGGAAGTGAGAGTAGGCAGGGCTTCTCAGAAGGCGGCGGGGCTTCCGATCCTCCTCCTACTCCCCCTCCTCCGCCTCCTCCTCCTCCTCAAGTTTTAGAGAGCTGTGCAGAAGGCTAGAGGCCATCTAAGCCTTCTGAGAAGGCCCGCCCCCTCTGCCTTTCTGCCTGGGCGTGCCGGCGATTGTCAGCCTCCCGCGGCGCCCTCGGGCCCGCGGCTGGATCCGCCTCGAAGTGCTGGCAGAGCGCACCCCGGGAGTTGTGCAGGGATCTGTGCTTGGCCACCCCTGGGTGGAGGGTTTCTCCGAAGGGCTTAGGCGACTCGTCCTCCTCTCTCCTCCTCCTCCTCCTCCTCCTCCTCCTCCTCCTCCTCCTCCTCCTCCTCCTCCTCCTCCTCCTCCTCCTCCTCCTCCTCCTTCCCCATCCTCGCCCTCCCCTCCTCGGGTCGCCTACGGCCCCGGGGGAAGCCGTGCAACCCTGGGTCGCGCCGAGTCGACGCGGGGGCGACCCCAGGGCTCCGGTGGCCACATGCGAACCCCTCGGCATCGCTCGGACGTGTGCATTTTTCCTTCGGCGAGGACCATCGAGGAGCATCCTTGATCATTTGGCGAAAAAACCACGCACGAAACCACAGGGAATGGACGTCCGAGCGATGCCCAGACCCTGCCCCACCACCCCCTTCCGAGATCGTGGGGTGGTGAGGTCGGGTTCGTATGATGTGGCCTCCTAAGCGCAGGCGTTCAAGGCTGAACGCCGCCGGTTGTCCAGAATCGTCCGGCATCGAACGATCCGCGCTGTCTGAACTCCGCGGCCGTTGCAGGCGAACGATCTGCGCGGTGTCAGGGGCCAACGCGCAAGTCGCCACGACACGGTTCCGCGCTGACTCGGCGCGCACCGGGGCGCTGAACAATGCGACGCCATCATCGTCATCATCGACGCCCCTGCTGCCCCTCCACTGCCCCGACACTCCAGGTCGGCTGTTCCAGGGAGTCCGGAGCAGACTCCCTGGTATGCGCCAGGGAGTCTGGAGCGGACGCCCTGAGAATGAACCGAAAGGTTGCTCCATGAAGGCTTTAGGATGAACCCGATCGATGTTTCCCAGCCATCCTGTGGCTTTCGGTCCTCGTTCTGAAGAGGAAGAGACAGCGAGCCCGCGGCACTCGTTCCTGGTTCCTCCTTCCTCCTCCCCCCTCCTCCATGCTTCCTACCCTCCACCTGCCCTCCGCCTGTCCATCTCGACACACCTCTCACGCGGTTGGTCACCTCACGGGGAGCTCCACCGAATGCCTTGGTGGCAGAACGCACATACCGTCTCCCCCACAAAATGGCACACCCCTGACACGCCCTGTGGCCCCGTAGGATGCTCCACCGAAGGCCCCAGCGGCAGCGCTCACAAGCGCCCCCCCGCCCGCTGCGCGCTCCGTGTCCCCACAGGGAGCTGCACCGAATGCCCCCGTGGCATTGCCATTCCCCCCGCCCATCACGGCGCAACCCTCGCGCGTTTCGTGCCTCCGTAAGGGGGCCCCACCGAAGGCCCCCGTGGTAGTGCTCAGACGCGCCTCCCCACCCCATCAGGGCACAGCCCTCGCGCGCGTCGTGGCCCCATACGGAGCTCTACCGAAGGGCCCCAGTGGCAGCGGCCACGTGCGTCTCTCCCGCCATTCGGCACACACCCCACATGTTTCGTGGCCCCATAGGTGTTTCATCGATGGCCCCAGTGGCAATTCTCACGTGCGTCACCCCGCCCAGTACGGCACGCCCCGCGCGCATTTTGTAACCCACAGGGAGCTCCACCGAAGGCCCCAGCGGCAGTGCTCACAAGCGTCTCCCCCGTTTATTGTGGCGCATCCCTTGCACGTCCCATGGCCCCGTAAGGAGCTCCACCGAAGGCCTCGGTGGCAGTGCCCATAAACGCCCCCCCCCCCGCCCATTACGGCGCAACCCTCACACGCGTGGTGGCCCCGTAAGTAGCTTCACCGATGGCCCCAGTGGCAGTGATCACATGCGTCATTCTTGCCCATTGCGGCACACGCCCCACACGCTTCGTAGCCCCACAGGGAAAATCACCGAAGGCCTCAGCGGCAGCGCTCACATGCGTCCCCCCGGCCCACCACAGCACAACCCCCTCGCGCGCTTCGTGAACCTATAGGGAGCTCCACCGAAGGTCCAGTGGCAGCGCTCTCATGCGATTCCCCCCCCATTACGGCACACCCCTGACGCGCTTTGTGACCCCACAGGGGGTCCACCGAAGGCCCCAGCGGCAGTGCTCACATACGTCTACCTCGCACACTACAGCACACCACCCAGTGCTTCGTGGTTCCAATGGGAGCTCCACCGAAGACGATATTCACAATTACGCTACTCACAACTGCATAATATGGCCAGGCCTTTCACAAGGATGATTTTGCTCTTTTGGAGCTTCTTCGGCGCCATCGTTGCCGTATTCCGTTTTTGAACGTGGCCAGAGATCATCGCAGGAGAGGTATTTGGGTCGATATGCCAACATACAGTCTGATCCTGGCCAGGCCCATCATGGGCCCAGGACATGTGCATGGGCGTATGGTTTGTACAACGTCGACCTCCAGAGGTCTCGACCTCATCCCGAGTCGTGGTTTGACGGTCCTGGGGCCTGGTACGGGCCCCCAGAGGCCGAAACATTGCCAACCAAAGCCGTCGTGTTTTTGTTGTCACGATGCTGGGGCGTCTGGCTTTCGGGTCATGGCTTGGGTCTTCGGCGGACCTTCGGGACGATTCGGGCACACTTGGAGCGCTCTCGGAGAGGCGCAGCTGCAGGCAAGCATCCCGAGGTGGGAAAGCCATTCAGGAAACGACGAACGTGTCCGACAACCCTTCTCCCCCCTCCCCTTGAAGGTGGGCCCCCCTGGTGAGCCTGGGCAGGATCGGTGCGCGTGCATCGCTCTCGTTGGTTGTTGCGCCACTCGGCGCTCACCGCGCCACTTCTGCTTCGTTTAACCTTGTCGATTGTTCGCTCGGGGTGATCTCAGCAGCGACTGAGGAGGGTCCGCTCTGCATCAGAAGCGTGCACTGCTCCAGTCCTCCCCAGGAGTACTGGGCGGAGACACGAGGAGAGCGAGAACGCCTGCTGCTGTACGTCGACTTCCACGCGCACGCCACCAAGCAGGGCTGTTTCTTCCTCGCGAACCGTCCCGCTGGGCTGCCGAAGAGAAGCAACCCTGAGGAGTCTTCAGATGCTGCGTCAGAGGGGATACTCCCACGGTAGGATGCATCGACCCCCACTCACGTATTGATTGCCGATATGGGCCCGATAGCCCCACCAGACCCAGGAACGTGCGAACTCTCTCTCGGGTGCCGCTTGCCGATCTATCGTCGATGTATCGCCGATTCCAGGTCGATGTTCCCCCCCTATGAGCCAATCCCCCCCCGAACGCCCGTAGCCATTCTGGCTCTAGACTGAAGTCGGGCATGTCCCTCTACAGGAGGCTCTACAGCGAGGGCCTTCGCGGAGCAGCCTCGCCCATCGGGCCAGCAAAAGCACGCAGGAGACCGAGGGCAGGAAGTCCAATGAGTACCATGGCCTTGGCGTCGTTCGGGCGTGTGAGCTGTTGCTCGGCGAGGGCCTTTGTGGAGCAGCTTCGACCATGTGATCGGTTTTTATTCATTGTTTTGCCGATCGGCGCGGGCCCCAAAACCCCTCTTCCCCCCCCATGGAGTAGATCTTGGCAGTTTTGTTGGCGCCTGTTTCGAGCGGGTGGAGTCTCCCCTGGAGGCCGCCCTTTTGCAGACAGTCGTGCGAAGCAGAGGTCTGGAGCCAGACCCCCCCCCTCCCCCCCTTGCCGCCCAATGTCGAAACGCCGAATTATCCCAGTGCGACCCTACCTAGGAGTTGGAGCCCCTAGGAAAGCAGCATTAGTAGTAGCAGTAAAGCTAAGCTAAAGCTGAGCTAAAGCTAAGCTAAAGCAAAGCTAAAGGTAAGCTAAAGCTAAGCTAAAGCAAAGCTAAAGCTAAAGCTAAGCTAAAGCTAAAGCTAAAGCTAAAGCTCCCAGGGGACTGGGGGAACCGCGGGGCGGATCCTGGGGGAACTGCCCGGGGCGTGTTCCACTGCCCGGCCCCTTTTACGCTTATAAAGTAAGAACCCTTCTAGGCAGAGCCTAGGTAGGGAATCAAGAAACTCAGGAGGGAGAAAACACACAGACACAATTAATCGCTGATTCCCCAGAACATATGGGAAACTATGGGAAGTGGGGGGAAGACAAACACCCAGAAAATACGGGAAAAGATGGGGACTCCTGTTACTTGTCTGTATCTATTTGTATGTCCCTGGGCCCCTTTCAAAGAGCACGCACGAGGCCGAACGCTGCCACGGGGGAACGGACTTTCCCAGGGGCGGCGAGCAGCGGGCCCCACCTCGGCCCCGGACGGCGGAGCCAGGGGAGTCGGCGCGGGCTGGCGCGGCAGGCGCGGCGGGGCTGTCCTTCACCGAGCGCGTTGCACTACTCGCAAAGTGTCCCCTCGCAAACGTTCAATACGCGTATATATATATATATATATATAGATCGATATACATCTATACATAGATATGTGGTGTTCGACACAATGGATCGAAGAAGAGAAAACGCCACAAACATCAACTTTTGGCGCTACGCGCGGGTTGCTTGGAACTGCGCTTGGGCCCCCTGGCGGCCTCTCTTCGGCGCCGCTCCAGGCGCGCTCCGAGCGCCAGGGAGGTGGCTCTAGCCCAGATCCAAGAATTCCGCGCGCACCTCTAATAGTTGATGTTCATGCCGTTTGTTTGTTCCAGTCATGGAGCTTGTTTGCTGCCGTGGATCCAGGCCAGTTGCGAGCAGCTACTCTGCGAGTAGTGGAGCGCGCTTGTCTAGTCCTGGACCCATTAGATTCGGTGATGCGGATGGCCTCGGGCCTCGGACTCCTCAGTTGGATACCTGGCAGCCCCGAGGTCGCACTGGAGGAGGGAGAGGAGGAGGAGGAGGAGGGAGAGGAGGAGGAGGAGGAGGAGGAGGAGGAGGAGGAGGAGGAGGAGGGAGGATTTCCAGGATGTCCGCCAATAAGGCTGCGCTCAGCCGCCAGCTTTGGGAAACAAGTCCCTAGAAATCCGATCGAGATATTCCCGTCGAGTCTTGGAGATTGGTAGTTTGCACGGTTTGCCTAATCTTCTGAGCTGGGACTGACCGAAATGACCGCATGTGCTGCAGTACCAAATATTCAAATCGTGGTGATAGATTCGGGCGTGTGAGGGGTCGACCCAGCCTCTTGAGTGGTGCAACATACGTCCTCGGGGTAGACGGGATAACCTTCCATCCACGGCTTGGAGTTGTAAGCACTCGCTGTTTAACCAGTCGGGCGAACACGCCTTCGTTGCCGAGCCTTTACACACGCTGCACGATCCCCCACTTTCGGTCAGGACGTGCGCGGACGCGAAGCGTGCAACAGCTATAGGGGGAGGCGGAGGAACGCGAGGGGCAGGCTCGGGCTCCTCGGGTTCGCGGCTGGCCTGAGCAGCAGCGATGGAGTCAAGGCGCGTAACAATCGCTCCATGACCAGCCGAGCCTTGTTCTCAACGCGGGCTATCCTGGCTCGGTCAGGCAGGGGCGCTCGGGCACGGCGGGCCTCCTCCTTGACGAGCTCATCAACCGCACAATGACCTCCTATCAACCAGCTGGGCCATTGACGCTCAGCGACCTCTTTCCCGTCTAAGCGAGACGGAACTTGAATTATGGGCCCATCGGATAGGTCCCTACGCTGCCTAGCTAGAGTCTATACAATCGATCTCCACAAATTTGTTTGGGGACCTGATGGGGATCGGAGCTGGCCTTCGCACCAACCCCCCCGCTACTGCAGCACAGCCTGTAACATACAGAAGGGTGCCTACGCAAAACCTCACGGCCCAAGACAAGGCTTGGAGCTCCCCGCGGGGCACTGTTTGGCTGGCCCCTACCAGGGGCCCGAGGAGGTGAGGCACACGAGTGATGGGTCCAAAAGAGCTAAAGCAAACTATAGCGAGACCGATCCTACGAATACGGCTGTCGTGGGCGTCGGCCCCTCCTGAGGCATCCCCGAACACCATAAGGAGCTCCCCAGGGGTTCCCTCCCCGAGACACGCGGGCCCGACCAGGCCTCCATTTAAAAGACCATTGCCGTCCCAAGACTGGCTGGAGGGAGAAGGAGTGACAGAGGTCCATGGGGCGGGGATGATCCCCCGCATTCAAAAACAAGGATCGGCCTCAGAGTTGTTGACCGCTTCAGGGAGCAGTGACGCAGACTGCATAGGCTGGCGAACTGTCTTTTTTGGCACATGTCCAACAACGATGCAGCGCCGTCTCGCGGCTGACTTTGCAACGTTCACGGATATCGCTGGCACACAAGTTGTCCAACATCCACCAACTGATATCAAAACCTTTCGCTCGGACAATTGTCGACCTCTCTTGGCGTGAGTGAGGTCGTTCACGAACTTACGGTAATAATGCATGTCGACTCCGCCCTGGAGTCCAGCACCACAGTACAACTCTGCGGCCTGACGCCACTGATTCAACTCCACTGTACTGCAGCTCGTCGAGTAAATCGGATGCTTGATCAAGGCTCGCGAATCCGGCGTCCCCGAATTTCCAAGAGAAGCCTGCATGAGCACCGTCATTCGGCACATCCCATTCTACTGGCGAGACTGGCGTCCACCCTGCTTCCAGCAAGTAGAGTATGACCGTGGAGAGAGGCCCTCGAACGTGTCGACTGCACAACTCGGGCTTGATGCTCATCAAGTGCCTGACCGTCGCCGGCCACGCCAGGGTGATGGACGGTCTGAGTAGCGGCTCCTGCAACCAAACTGATAACCACAATGATATATTTTGGCGTGGTAAAACAGCACCTGGGTCCGCGCCTGGCAATCGCATTGCCAGGAGCGTGGCGAGGCAGCGCCCTCTCTTGAAGGACCCCGCCGCCGCTCCAAAGCGCGGACGCTGCAGCAACATGTTGGGCCCGAACGCGCCGTGGACCTGGTGGCCGGACACCGCCGACGCCTGGGGTCCTGTCCGCTACAGCTTAGCCGTGGCCTGCCACCTCCTTGCCGCTTGGGCGAAGCGGCGGAGCCTGCCGCGGGCTTTGGCAGCCTTGGTGGCTCTCTTGCGCACCGCGGCCCTCCCCCGGCGGCGCCCAGCACTCAAGTCCACGCCTAAGTGCGCCCCGCCGAAGAACTAACTACTGCAAGTGCGTCACAATGATGGGAGCAGGTCACCGCGCTCTTGGGTGACATGCCGAGGCCAAGGCTTTTGAATTCCTTGACAGTGGAGAGAATCCCCTTGATGAGCGTGGCGCGGACGTGCGTCCTCGACCCTGCTACCCCATTTGATCCAGATGCGCTTCGACATCGACGGATGCATGACGCGCAGCCTCTTGCACGCAAACGCGGTCAAGCACGCGGCGAACCGCGCGCCGTTCTTGAGCCCCTGCATGATGGAGAACGCGGCCTGGAACGGCTCAGAGACGGAGTCGAGCTGCTGCAAAAGCCTCGGGATGTGGCGCAGCTGCAACTCAAAACAAACGCTGGCGGGAACCCCTTGTGAGCCGCGCACCGCGCGAGCGGCCCCCGCTCGATGCCGTCGTAGAAGGCCTCCACGTCCAGCAGCCCATGACTGTGGGCGACGTTGAGCCTCGTCTGAGACTCATCCTGCAGCGCCCTGACAAACGCCTCCTTCAGGGCACTATTGCCGGCGATCGCCGCATCCCAGCTGTCATCTTGCTGAGCCGACAGCTCCTTCATCTGCGCCTCTCTGGCCATGGACCACGCTCAGCGCAGCATCGGCAGCAGGCCGATGACGCGATTGCCGCCCGACCGCTTGGCCAGCGACCTCCCGATCATGCACGTGACCTGCCACGGCCAGGAGCCATCCTCGATCGTCGTGAAGGGGCCCCACATCTCCTGAAGCCCCTCCTGCGGAAGCCCGTCGAAGTCGAGGGGCGACAGGCGGTCCGCGCTTCGGCCCGCGCAAGCCTTCATGCTCTGCAACGCATGATGCAGCTCACCGAGCGCGAGCGGCTCGAGCGTGTCTACCTCAGCGAGCGCCTTGACGTCGTCGAAGTTTCTCGGGATGCTGCCGTGAGTAGCTGGCCCCCGCCACTTGGCCTGCCACTTCTCCACCTTTTTGGTCCACTATGTCGATTGGATGCACGAGAACACCTGCATCAGCATCGAGCTCATCAAGTTCGGGCTCGCCGTCCCTGACGCTGCGATGCACCTGTCCCTGCGTCGCCGTCGAACTGACCCAGTCCTGAAGCTCCTGCAGAGATGCCGCGGCAGCGCGACTCTGAGCGCGCCGTGCCGCCCGACAGCATTTCTCCTCCCAGTCGGTGAGCTCCTCCACGGAGAGGCCCCCAAGCCGCCGCACGTCGCCAAGGAGGGCGCTCCAGCACCCCTGCGACGGCGGCAGAGCAGAACCTGCCCCGTCCAGCGGCTGATCCGCCAGGCGCCGGGCCGCCTCTGCCAGGGGCAGCACCTGGCTCTCGCCGTTGCGCCTCCTCCTGTGGCGCAGCGCACGCTGTGCCACCGCGCGAAGCCTGCCCCGCCAGCCTGCCGCGCCGCCCTTGAGCGGCTGCCTCCGCACATGCTCGGCTTGGCGAAATAACATCACCTGCGAGTCGAAGCCGTCGCGCCGTGAGCGCTTGGGAACGCTGAGGCCATGGCGGCTGGTGATGGCGCGCTCAACAGAGTCGATCCATCGCGCGCACTTACTGCTGATTGGAAGGGCGTGCTTCTCGCCTGCCTGGTTGGCGAGAGAATCTTTGATCAGCGACCAGACGTCAGAAAGAGAGTGCGAGTGCCACGGAACTTGAGCCAAAGCGTCTACGTGCGCGGAGCTGGGAATTTAGAACGTCGGGAGGGGAGCAGGAGCCGCAGCAGCAGCAGCAGCAGGGGCCGTGCCTGAGCAGAACGTCAGCAGGGGAGCAGCAGCAGCAGCAGGATATCCTGATCCTCGGCCGTGCCGAGGCCCGTCTCCCCAGGACTAGAAGCAGGGGGTGGGTCTCCTCCCAAACTCTCGCCAACTTGAATACCCCCTCCAGGGGGCGGATCGTTATTCGAACTCTGCGTGACATCGCTCTGGCGCGGGTCAACTCGACTCGTCGGCCCAGGGGTCTTCTTCTTCGAAGCCGAAGTCCAGATCGCACCCCTCCGGGATCCAAAACGGGATCCGCCACCAGTGGGGCCTGAGGGCCTTCGGCCGTGGACCCAGGAACCGAGGAGGTCAGAACTTCGGGCCCCAAAGGCCTGAGAGCAGGAAAGCATTTGAAAACATATATTCACAGTCGGCCTTTATGTGCTCACGAGCCAACTGCACTTTCTGCTGATGGGCAAGCTTGGCAACACTACTCTTTGATCCAGCAGTGGGGGAGGAAGAAGGACGAGGCACTTGGGGAAGGCGAGGGGCTACTTCCAAAGACCTCATGATCAATTGCTGGCCCGCTCCACGCAGACGGATCTCTAGACCACGGTGGGGGCTCCAGGGCACGCCGGTAATCGCGGGTACACTGTGTATGTACGGAAGGCAACCCTCTGACGCTACTACGAAGTCGATATGCGATCCCTTTGCACTCCCTACGCATGTGAACTCTATACCAGCCCGCTCGGTGAATCCATGGAGTTGCTTCAAGAATGCCGAACGTTGAAATACATTGATATCAATGTTGAAATCACCGACTATGAACCATGGGAGCTGCACACTCTGGATGAAAGCGCCAAGCTTCGCGAAGCGCTGCAGACTTTCCCCAGCGAGTCCGAATGACGGATGTGGATAGAAGACTATCGCGATACTGAAAGACCAGACATATGCATGACGACTGGAAGGAAGCCATCGAGGGCGTCTGAGCCCTCAGCACAGAAACTAGGCACAGCTGGTGCCTTGGGTATCGCCCTGTGCGAATGACGATGCCCCTGGGACATAAAGAGCTCCCCGCCCTCTGTGGCCTTTGAGGTCGCTCCCCCCGTCGCTCGGGCTGGGTTGTCGACGAATCTCCACTTCGCCCTTCTGGCACTCCGCGCCCACTTCGAACGAGCATGGCATCCAGCATGGGTTCCGTGAGAGCTATGTACTGGTATTGCTTCAAGAAAGCGGGCGCGCTGATGTGGTTCCACGCCTTGGGCCCCAAGCAGGTCACGCTCGCGTAGAGCAGGCTGCACAGCTCCGGAGTCGATCCAGCACCAGCGGCGCCGCAGGGGGCCGCAGGGCCCTCAGCCGCCGCGCGTGCTCACGCGCCGCCTGTGGCCGCCTGCGGCACGGCGTTGGCACCTGCCTCCGCCCCTGCCGCCGCCGCTGCCCGCAGCTTCTCCATCTCGATCTTGATCCCGGCCTCGGACGGGCCGCCGGTGGCTGCGCCGCCTGGCGCCCGGGCCGCAGGGGCCGCGCCCGCCGCCGCAGCAGCTGGGGGATGCGCTCCTCCCGCCGCCGCGGCCTGGCCAGCGCCCGCCGCGCCCGCGCCTGCCGCAGGAGCCGCCTGCGGGGGCTCACCCCCCTCAGCACGCCTCCTCTTCGCCATGCGCTCCTTCGCGCGCTCCTGGAACTCCCTCGTCCTGTCACGCCACTGCGAGACCTGCTCCGCCTTGGACTGCACGCTCTCCTTGGCGGCCTTTAACTCCTGCTCGATCTTCCTCAACTCAGCCTTCTCCTCGGCGCCGTAGTCGAGGTCGTCTATGGCATCGAAGAAACTGGTGTCCCACGACAAGTCGATGAGCGGCACATCTGGCGCAGCGGCTGGCTCGGGAGTGATCCCCGTGGCCTTCGCCAGAGCCGCCGCCGCGCTGCGCCTGCTGATCTCAGCTAGCGCCAGGGCGCGCGCCGTCTCCCCCTCGCGCTCGCGAGCACGCTGGAGGTTGAGGGCGCACCGCTCCACCTGCGCCCGAGCCTGCTCCCACTTGGCCGAGGCGTCGCGCCGGGCGCCCGACGCCAAGCGCACCGCCTCCTCGGCGGGCACGCTCTTCGGCGTGGTCGCGGCCGCGCGCGCCTGTCCAAGCTGCTGCTCCAAGATGACCTTCACACCGAAGGGTCCTGAACCACCTTGAGCGCGGCCTCCAGCGTCGCGACGGCATCAGGGGCGGCGCTCACGGCTCCTCTCAGGGTGGTGCCGCTCTGGTCGCTGCCCTTGTCGCCCTTGACCTTCGGCTTGAACAGTGCCAGCTTGGTGCCACACTTGCCGCACTTCGCGCCCTGGTTGGCGAGAAAGTTGTTCCGTTCACATTTGCCACAGCCATGGCACTTCATCCAAGGGTCCGTCGCCAATGAAGCACCAGACGTCTGCTGCTGCTCAGGGGTCTTCTTACCCTTGCCGCCCATGGCTCACTTACTGCTGATGCGTCCCTTTAGCCAACCCGCGCAATTGACCGAAAGCGTGCTAACGGAAAGATTGGTCACCCGCGTGTGCCATTCAAGCACCATGTATGAGGCGGACGCCTTTTCTCAGGCAAAATGCTTGGGCCAAGGTGGCTTGAGCCAAATCTGCCACGGGGGAGGAGGAAGGAGGAGCAGGAGGGAGGAGGGAGGGAGGAGGGAGGGAGAGGAGGGCGGCAGAGTGCGCGAGCATAGGTCTCGAGGTCCGCCCGTGGCGCCTTCTCGTGCGCCTGCGCCGGCGTTGCGGCCTCTTCGCGGGCGCCCGCCTCTGGGGCGGACTCGGCGAGACGCAGCTCTGGTGTGGGCCCAATTCTGGGGGCAGGGCAGGGGTGTGGTGTAAAGGGGTGTGGTGCCAATGCTGGACCTGGCGAGGCTATCGA